GAGGGCTATGGTCTTCCAATGCGATTAAGGGCAGATGAGGCATGAGCCGTGTATGTTACAGCAGCAGCTGAGGAAACTGTGTACATCAAGGTGTTCTTCATTGCAAGGCCCACGGGCCCACTGGTGGCCTTTAGTGCAGCCCCTTGACGTGACGCCCCCGACAATACGCAAAAAGTGAAAACATCCCCCATCATCATCATCATCACTGTGCTGCTATCAAACCCCAATGGTTTCACATGTGTGGTGGCCCTCACACTAATGGTGTATTATCGGAGAAAGTGCCTCCCTCCCCCGTTCCCCCTCTGAGCATTAGTGAAGACCACGGGTGCAGATGGTAAATTGCGTCGTGTTTCCAGCTTCTCATCTTCATGCGGGACTTGTGCCATCATTCTCGGCAGGTCGGAGCGGACACACTCGCGTTCCAACGACGAGCAGACTCTGTCGATGCGTCCTCTGCATGCCCGATCGTGAATCATGCCCAAGGTCCTCGTTTGCGCGACTATGTTGCGTCACTCGGAACGTTAGATTTCACGTAAATAAATTTGTAATTCGCGTGACTCTCCGCGTTTTTAAATGTATATATTCACTCCGCATTATGTTGAGCATTTTAGCGCAAAGGTAATGCGTCCTCTGTCATCTGTATAATATTAACATCCATAACTGCAATTATTTTAACGTACAATAATTAAATATTAAGCTGATCTCATTTGACTTTTAATACACATCACACTGATTTAGCATTATTTAACACTGACAAATGTCAACAGTTAAAAATTAGCAGCCAATGGAAATCCTCTAGTTTTAAGAAATATCAACTCTACTTTTCTCAGTGGGTAGAACTCAGAACCTTCCAGGGAAATTTTTATTTCTATTGGAGGAATCCGATGAGCTGTAAAGCTCTTTCCACAGACGTCCAATAGTTTAATTCCGGAGCAAACGCCTGTGAACATATTGTAAGGTCATGGGACCTTTCTCTATTTAAAAAAACGATTTTAAAATATGCTTTACCAGGTAAGGCCCACGGAGCCATATAGTTATTTTTCAGAAGCGATCTGGCCACAAATGATGGCTCATCCAAGTGGCTGCTGTGCAAATTTATAGCAACCAAATGCTCCAAACGCGTCTTTCTACATGTGGAGGGGAAAAACCGAAAGACCCAGAGAAAAATCCACGTGAACAATGCGGAGTGAAACATGCAGACTCCAAATACACAGGCGTCAGGGTGGAGATGTAACATGCGAGGTAGTTAACATCCCGCTACCGTGGCGCCAACAAAGGCACACCACGGCAGACACAAAACGAACACTTTGCAGAAATGCAATTTCACGTGTAACTTCACAGGAGGCAATAACACAACAGCTGTTACACGTGGCTTGCCACTCATTCTCTACCAGCGGGCCACAATTGCATTTCGTGACTTGGCCTCTGCCCAATCCACCACGTTGTACTTTTCTTAGCAATTTGAATTGCCTTAAAAATGCATGAATTCGTTCACAAATTAATCAATTAAGCGTTCTGTCCGTAAACAGGTCGGAAGGCACGATGTTTCTCTCCTTCGACACCTCCGATTAGCACGGTTGGCTACGTACGGTGCAAATGAAGTTATATATACAGTTGATCATCGACAACATTATCCGGCAGTCCCGGGCCGATCCGGCGAAACCGGCAAAACCGCTCCGAAGGCTGTAACCCAGTCCGGCGATTGTCAAACACATCAAGTTATTGAATCAAGAGCGTAGTGGTATGTACAACACCCCATGCACAGTCTTCGAGGTTTGAGTGGTACGTACGGTGCAGTAAATGCAGTAACTTGTTACGGTAGGATATGTAATTTTGTCTATTTGTATGCGTATTTATCGGTACCAATTTCAAACAGTAAACACATTGGAAACACTAATAAAACATATCCACAACACCTAAGAAGAATGTGCAAAAATAAGCTTTTGTAAATAATGATCGTTCGGAGTGAATATCCGGCGCTCCCCCTTCCCCCCGAAGCCGCCGCATAATCGATTATCTAATTAACTCTCTGATGCACGTGTTCCCATTTTTTAAAAACCTCTCAATGCAATTACAAAGCAATCAGAAATCGCAGCAGATCCAGGCGCAGGTATTATTAACTTGGGGACCGTCCATAAATGACGTCACGCACCTAGGGGGGGGAGCGGGGTGAGACATTTGTGACGATGTGTGACGAGGGCGGGAGGGTTTGAGAAATGTGACGTCACATAAAAATGTGAAACTTACTTTTTGTGACCGCGTGTGACGAGGGGCGGGGGGAGAGGGGGTCAAAGTCGGCCAAAATCGCGTGACGTCATTTATGGACGGCCCCTTGGGGCGCAAGCCCCTTTCTGGGGGTGCGAGACATGGGCAGATTTTTTTTTAGAAGGTAAATAATCGAAGCAAAAATTAAGCACGGGCTTACACGTAAGTACAACTATTTTGTTTAATCAAATCCTATGTATTTAATAACATTAAGTAAAAAAATAACGCTTGAGAATTAAAGGGTGCAAGGCTGCAGTAAAGGTTAATAACCACTGATCTCGTGTGCTTCCCGATGCACGTCATAGCTATTAACTGTAAACCAATTTTGCAACTGGATATGCTTTCAGAAGAACCAACTGGGCAAATAAAATATTTGAGATATTTCTATTGGCGTGCTGCTGACACTAACAAAGTATTACTTCCTGCTACTCTGGAAAAGAGTTCTTCATCAGTTAAGGGAACAGAGTTCACTTGTGGCTCGACACTTATTTTGAAGAAGTCCGCTATCACACCACTACAGTGCAAGCATGGTGGGAACAGAGACATCTGTGGGGTCACCTCAGCCAGTGAAATGCTGTACATAAAAGTTATTGCCATCAATTTACCAACTTACCCTTAGGGAATTGAGCTTTGAAAAGTTGTGTGTGTGATCCACAAACTAAAACTATGAACTAATCTATTTTACCAGCTAAGGCCCACTGAGTTAGTTATTTTTTCAGAAGCGACCTGGCCAAAAATCTGAAGCCACTTTGTTGATCTGTCACGTGGAAATGTACAGCAAACACTCTAAACGCACGTTTCTAAATGTGGAGGGGGTGGGGGGAACGGAGTATATCCGGAGAAAAAATCCACGCGACCACGGGGAGAGAGAACATGCAAACATGCAAACTACAAATATACAGCAGGCGTCAGGGTCAGGGTCGAGCCCACGACCTCCTGCACATCGGGCGTGGGATTGAACATCTTGTCGCCTCGGCGCCCCAGGGTGATGGAGGAGAGCAGGACGGGGTCAATGGCGTAGAGACACAGGGACGAGAAGACATGGAGAGTAAGGTGGTCACTGGATTTTGGACGCAAGTATTATACGGCACTTTTGATCAAATGACATCTGCAAAAATCCCTCGTTTAAAAGGGTATGCAGAGGGTGTTCAAATTAAACGACAGATCAACTCCAATGGATTGTCCTTATCCGCACTGAAGGTCACGTGTTTTATCACCTGGGCCAACCAAGGTGAGATTGAGCCAGATAACTGAACCATCATGCAATTGAACATTGGATAATTGTTAAATCGGCACACTAGATTGCATATAATTGTAATACTGCGGGCGCCCATCAACTCTGGCTGTCACTCCGTCATTATGCTCAACCACTGCCTCCAGCCACGTGCTGATCAAATTCACTGTATCTTAAGTCAATGTCCACGAAAACAGTACTTTAGTTGCATTACAGGACTGTGAGATGGCAAAGGCTTCAAACAGCAGTGGAGTGATGACTGATATACACTTCTGTAATGCAGTATAGTGTAATGTAGACGCTGTATACAGCATGGACATGTTTCAACACACTTATTTTCTCCGTACCACATTTTTACATGATTAATGCACAATGTTAATATAATATATACATTCACATATAAATCAGAAACAATTGTATAATTTTTTTTATTTGCGTCTACATGACAAACAGCATTCACCTCTGCACGGTACAAGACTCCCTTTATAGCCTTAGGATACTCTATGGGACAAGTGCTGTGAAGCGAGCAATGAGCCACTGGGCACACACACCACGCACGTGGAACACGCTTTATGACACACGTGTATGCATATCCGCATTCCTTCTGTCAGCAATCTCCCTTTCCCGGAACGACAACACCCTCAAGCGCCACGGTCTCAAGCCACGAGCGCGCGAGCCGAATCGCGAGCGAATTTTCCCGCAACCAATGAGAAGAGACGAGAGGAGGAGGAGGCGCGTGCCCCAAGCCACCAGCGACCAATCAAGAGCGCGAATTCGTGCGGGGAGGGGACAGGGGGGGGGCGCATGCCCTTAAACCACGCCCCCCACACCCTCCACACCCGCCCCCTTCGTCTCGCGACTCAGTCCCTCGTGCAGCCCCCACCGCGTCCCTCCTCCCCCCGTCCCCCCTTAATGGCGACCTCTCGTCCAATCACAAGCGGTCCCAGCCCCCAACTCCCCCCCCCCCTCCAGGAGATCCCCACCCCCGTTTCCCGTCACCCCGCCCCCTTCCCCCCACGTTGTGGGGTGCGCGCTCCGAGATTAATACAGTAAACGCGAGATTTGAAGCTTTCGTGACTGCAAGTATTCATATTCTTAGGTTTTTTCGGTAAAATCACGTAGGTAAAAAAAAAATCAAAATTAATAAAAGTAAAATAAAAAATGAAATAAAATCACGACGTTTCGGATGCAACACAACCGTCGCAGCACGCACGCTGTATTTTTTTTATTTTACTTTTATTAATTTAGATTATTTTTTTAACCTACGTGACTTTACCGAAAAAAAAACCCTAAGAATATGAATAAATGAATAATAATCGCGGCCCGCCCCCATGAGTCTCTATAACCACACGCCCACCCCTCCGGCAGCCCCGCCCCCCACGGCGCGCGGCGCGACTCTCGGAGATAAACAGAGTGGGGCCGCGCGGCGCGACTCTCGTCGGCGCAAAGTGTAGAGAGAGCGAGGAGAGAGCGAGGAGAGAGCGAGGAGAGAGGAGAGCGAGGAGAGAGCGAGGAGAGAGGAGAGAGCGAGGAGAGAGGAGAGAACAACAACAACAACAACCCTCCTCCACCCGAAACGGCGGTGGTGGTGGAGAGGTTTTTCATTTGCCTTTACGCGCGGCTACGAAGTGTGTAACCGTACCGCCCTTTTCGCATGCGGAATATAAAAATAATAATAACATTATCATCGTTGAAACGGTATATATTTCTTATTTTTTGTTGTTGTTTTACGGTGAACGCTAAAAAAAAAGAGAGCGAAGAGAAACATCGGAGGAGACGTCGCCCACCGATTAAAAGGTGAGTCGCTTGGTCTGCCGCCATGGCGTCGGTCGCCTTGGCGTGTTTTGAAGGATAACATTTTAACGTTTCGATTGTAATGGGTTGTGGTTCAAACTACGAGGCTGCAGATGGTGTTTTGTTCCGTAGCTACATTTCGCGACAAGGTTTTTTGTGTTTTTTTAAAATGTTCTTTTTGGGGCTTGTGCGGCGCGGCCTAGCCTGTTTGCGGAGTCAGAGTGAGGGGCCGGCCTCGGATAGATTCTCTCGCCGGATATGGAGTCGCGTAACGCGGAGAGAAGACGAAGCCAGCCCGGGGTGGTTTTCGACGCGGTCTTGGTCACGTTTTTTTAATTGATAATGTTGGTGAGTCGGTCATGGGGTAAAGGGAGGTGAGGAAGGGTTGACCATACCCATACCTCGCTGGTCTTTGTGTGCTTGTTAAAGCAACGCGTGGGCATGCTCGGTTGAGATATAATTGGCTTTTGACGTTAGCCGCGGACGGGAATCAAACTCGTGTGCATTGGTTAGTATCGCATTGTGGTAGCGACCACGTCACCACCCTCCATCCAATTTTTAAGTCTGCAATGATTTATAAATACGTACTGTAAACGACGAGATTGCCTCTGAACATGATCGTGTTTGAGGTGGTTTTAAAAATTAAAACTATTCAAACAAACCTATTAATATCACGTGTCTTGTATATGCGAACACGATGCTGTGTGTCCTGGGGATATCGCAAACGAGTTTAAAGCAATGCTAATGAGAAAACAATAACTTCTCATTATGGCTATCTGGCGGCGTCACTGGAATATGTTGAATACTTAAATGCGTTGACGTAATCGCGGCGATTTAACGGAGCGCTTCAAACTCGTGTCGCGGATATCGAGGGCGCAGCCCCTAGTCGTTGTATCTACAAAATAGTAGCGATGTGTTTGTCTTCATCATCATTAACTAACTCGTTGGTTTTACAGCCGTGGCCACCGATGATGCATTTGCCTCCGAGGTGCACAAGTGCGACCCTTCAGATTAACCATATGTTCACGTGCATTATACTCGAGCGGTTAAATGCTATTTGTTTAGACGCTGGCGCTTATACATTGTGCACATAAAAAGAAACCGTGCGGTGTGGTTGTGTTAACAAAACCCTCGTTGTGATTTATGAAATGGGTTTAAATGAAGAAAATATAATTTCGCGTTGACGCGTGCTCATGTAAGTGAAGTTGTCATTTATGTTGAGCGTGTGGATAATTCGCATGCATTAGCTTATGTCATTACTGTGATAATGACATTTGGGTAATGTAGTAGTATTGCGATGAGTCAGAGCAATGGCAAAGTGTGTAAACACACTGTCGCCGCAACTCAAGTAAAATGCTTTACATTGTGATTGAAAGGGGATTATTAAGCTCAACATCTTTGAAGAAAACCTTTGGGGTGGCTGTTTTTATGTATAGTAGAGTACTCTCTGATATGAAGTGTTTAAGAGCCTTGGGGCAGACATCCCTGGGATTTTTTTTTACTTATTGTATTTTATGTGCCCAGATGTATAATTAACATTTGAATTTGACGTCATTTAGATGCTATAAAGGTCTACAAACAGATCTTCCAGTATACTATAGTGGTAGTGAATAGGAGCGCTACATTATAATGCAGCGTTAAAGCTAAATTAAGTAGGAATTGACTGGGTTATTGCCTTTCGCTTATAATTATGTTAAATAAAAACATGTGGCAGTGAACATTAACCAAGGGTGTTCGTATGCGAAGCGATAGCGCTGTCTATCGTGTAACATCCATTAGCTCCTTTTATTGTCAGGGTTATATTATGTAAACATTTTATGATCACTGTGACGAAAACAAGATTAAAAATATATTCGTGCACAGCATTTAAAGTGCATACGCAACTTGCAATGAGACAGATGGATTATAACTGTTTTGTTTTGCAGCTTTGCATACGAGATTGCAAATTCACGTAACGTTAGAAAATTGTCTTTTTCTCAACGTTAATGTGTTGTGAAGTGTGAGGAATATCAATGTTTTCAAGCAATCTGCTGTTGCCTAAAAATATTCGGTGATATTTTAATGCCTTATGAAGGCTGAATGATGGGAATATGCAACATGTTTCAAGTACACACCTTCAGATATAACGTTTTATTAGAGATATTTTTCACCATTACGACATGGTAAGTAAGTAATCTTTCAGTTTTTTTTTAAATCTCTGGGAGGTCCAAATTGTCCTCGGTATAAATTGATCTGATATGTGCTCGATTATTTAAGAAAAAGTATGATTGCTGCAGAGTGATTGAGGTCATTGTGTCAAGTCTAGAAATTGTGTCAAGACGTACTGATCGTCTGGCTGATTTGCTTTGTTATTGTAATGTCAAATTACACTTCCATGGAACTCTTAAATAGAAAAACCCAGGTGTTACTACTTTGCTTCCAGAATTAATACAATGCTCCCAATGACCTTGTTTAGTGTTGATCAAACAAGATTGCGTATCTCTCGAGGCATAAATGGAACTTCTTTTTCGAGGCTGAATATACATGAGATGGGTTTACATTAACCAGCAGAGGCTCATGGTATGATCAATACAGTCGACTTTATTGCATGCAAACATACACCTGCATGTGTTCCCTATTCACAAGATGTCTGGTCCATCTTTAATGTGAGGAAATGACACCTGTTCAAACTTCACACACACACACGCACAATGACATGTGTGCAGTGTGGATTCGGTAGGCCGAGACACAAAAAAGCTGGATTTGCACGTTAGCACTCTTAATGCGCTCAATGTTTCTTGCATTACATATGGTCCACATTCGTCCATGTGGCTGTACATATAAAATAACTTGTCGTCCAACATCGTAGCTTCTTGTGCGTCATGTGCATCTTGTGTTATTTAATTTACCCTGTAGAGTTGTGACTGGTTTACTAAATGTACCAATGTTTAACATTTTCAGGTAACATCACCACTAGGCCATATTGTATCCAATTTTAAAGCTGGCGTGTTGTAGTCTTTTCAAAATAGAAAACATATCGATTTCATATTTTACCAAATAACCCATCACCAGCCACGAGCGATTCACGACTGGATGAAGGCCCCCTCATACCCTGTGAGTTTTGGGGTTATTTGACCATACTTGACCACGATAGTCAGTGCTGGTTGGTTAATATGGGGAGCATAGCTGTTGAGAGCATAGTGCAGTACAGCAATGTATTTTTTTGCAATTGACAACGTAGCCCTGGCAGTAGTAACCTAAAACACCTGTTGTGTGGTGGCAGCCCATCCAAGCACTATTCAGCCTCAAGCCTTCTTAGCTTCTGACGTAAAATCAGGTACATTCTGGGCAATTTGGTCATCGGCTGTCCTACCAAATTCTACCAAAATTTTATCACTGAATCGTAAATTATCAAATGTGTTGCTCCGCACCAATACTTTTTGGGCCATCGCGTAACGTGCCACACATGCGCTCACATTCTCACACAATAGCAGGTCAGTTCTGGATAAATCTTTAAACCCGATTTGAAACGGTTACTGGAGTAAACGTAAGAAAACAGAGCTGTTGTGCCGTGAAATTGCTTACGCCTAATCTGAAAATTCGTCAAGCTACTAACAATGTTATGAAACTTAAACAAATTATGATGAGCTCTTGCGACTGTTAAACTCCCATGATGATGTCATGATGCTGAGGTGTAAATTGCTGTACATTTTGGTGGTAGCGCATTTGTGTGCCGAGGCTATTGTTTGTAGGTTCAAACTTCCATTGCATGATATCCATACGTTGGTCTAAGCTAGTTTTCATTGTGACATGAACAGTTACCCGCAGTGGTCCACGGTTTAAATTGTTTGGATGTCCCCTTGCAAATAAAGTGTATGCGTCTCCGCTGTTGATTTATTTTAGAAAATGAATTTATTTAAATGTATTGAATCTTTCATCACATAAAGGTTCATCGTGGATGAATTGGATTTGACTGTTTTGTGGCTTTGATCAAATCTCCTGATGGTGTGTTTGAACAAGCAACACACTAAACTCTCTAGTCCTGCAGGATTCTAGCAGTCGGCACTGAAATATATTAGTGCCGAGTGCCGACCCGTTGTCTAGTAAATTCTTTCTTGCTGTGGCATGTTGAAACGTGTGAGTGTTGTAAAGGATTTGCCAATAAATATTAGATGAAGATTATTATCGCGGCTCTAATGTGAAGAAATCACACGTGCAAATCGAGCACTTTTTTTGTGACTATAAATTGTTGCTGGAAGGAAGTTTTAAGGCTCAAGTGACAAGCCAGTATTTGTCCGTAATTATATTCACACGCTTTTACATAGAGTAAAGTATATACAAGCTCATGCATATATGCAGTGCGTTGTTAATTGTACACAAATTTGACAAATAACAGTGAGTTAATAATCCAATTATACATAAACAAATCACGAGGTGCTCTATTGTAATGGTTGTATCGTAAAATCCTTGACTCTTCTATATATTAGATAATCGGCTTTATTAATTCCAGGTTCCACACCGTATTGAGTGTAATGTGTCCAGACATGTTATTTCCATGGCTGGCTGTTTTGTGCTTGTGCAAGCTCATGATTAAAGCGTACAATAGATGCTATGTTTCCAGTTCAGCATTCACTATTCAAATCATTAGCACAGCATTCATTTGTATTCATTATCCTGGCTGGCTATCTAGCATTATACACATGATGGTGAGCTGCAAGCTAAGAATTTTTAGAGGCTGCTATCAAATTAGCCACTCCTCACAAAGAGTTCTCCTGACCACAAGCTGCCCAGCATGTTAATTTCTCTGTTTGTAAGATCAGTGCTCGGGATATTTATCAAATGGAGCTGTGGTTGGTTTGGTAGAAAATTGTGGCTTTTGTGCCATCGACACAGAATAATGGTGGCAGCTTGCAAGTGCGATGCCATGTTTGGTTGTAGGCTGAATTATGGCAGTTGGTGTCTCAACATGTTGTTTTCTTATAACAATTGATTTATATCGCTGTTTAGTACAATGAGTATCCATTGTCAAATGTAAAAAAAATCGCATGCATCATAGGGCTGCAAATAATTCCTCATTTGTCAACTACGGCTTGGTTGAAGTCAATCTATATTTGATCGTCACTCGCCATTGTGTATATTGTCTGTGGTATGCATTACATTTTTAATGAATGTTTTTAGGTTCATTATGATGAAGTGAAATTAGTCTACATTTATGAGCGAAACTAATGTTTGTATCCCATTTGGTAGAATCCTATATTTAATGGGTCACCGCTACCACGAGTGGCTTGGCTGGCAGTTTGTTTTGTCTACCTATCTGTCAACTGATGTTCTGTGCCTTGACCACTCTTTGTGCACTGCCCGCCCAGTTGCCAACGACCTGTTCCGTGTGCCCCAGGAGTGTACATCGGTGCACCGGGAGGACAGAGGCAGCTCATGACTTCGGACCGAGAAAGCGAATCTCCGGTCGTGGCCGATACCCAGCGAGGAAGGCAATCTCTGGTATGGGCCCCCAACCCCTCCTGCGAATTATGCCGTCCCATGTGATGCCCGCCTCTTGACCATGCCGCTTATTCCACTGTTTGTGTTGATCGATGTCATCTTGTTTCATCGTACCATGTCGTTATATGTAGGCTTTAAAATAAACCCAGAAGTGAAATTTGCGTGGGAGTTTCCTGTACATTTGTTGTGGCAAACTGGGATGGCACAAAATAAAAACTATGCTCACCCAAAATGTATAAATATTTTTTACACACTTTCTCAATAAAGGTTAACTTATCTTCTATAATGTGTGAACAGTCAAGAAAATTTAACATTGAGATCTTTAAACCTTTCTAAAGACACCTTTTACACTTCCTATAATGATTGCTGATGCCCTTATTTTGAGTTATTGGTGGAAAGTGTTGGTTGATTGTGTAGACTCCTTTTATTGAGGCACCGTATTAACACTTTTGCTTTACTGTGCAGATATTTTAGCCAGCATGTTCTATACAAAGAGACGCGTTAAACCATGCTCCAATGTGAGGTTCTCTTGCCTGTCCTGGCAAGTCCTTACAAGTTTGCCCGTGCTGAAGCACACATTGTCATGTGAATTCTAAAGCTTGAAATATCCGGCTGAACTGGACTTCAGTGCCAAAGCAAGAGTGTGTATCTTTTTGTTTAAAAAAAAGAAATGCATTGCATTTTTCTTTGTTTCTAGCCAAGATCAATGCCAGTTTTGCCTGTAAAAGTTGAGTTGCGTTATATAGGAAATTATGTGCTAACAATAATTTGTAAAGTTTACATATGACTTGCATAGTAAAACTGTCAAACTGTAATGATGCATCCTGTGTGGCTGAAGTGTTGAAATACTTTATAGGAAGCAGTCGCTACTGGTTCTGTATGAAATTTTGCACAACATGGTTCGTCTTCCTCTTAACAGGCTGTTCAACTATTTTTTAAACACTGAATAGCGTGCACATTCGTATGACGCACCAAGGAAAGGCCCCTGTCTGTGCGACGTGGTATCTGCCGCCGAGCTTTTAAGGCAGAAAAAATTGGGCTTCTACCCTTTGAGGGCCTCCCGAAGGTTGACAGTGTGAGGCCAGTAGCTGGCGCTATGTTAGTATTTGTTCACAGAGGGCAAAGTGCATGGGGGGGGGGGGGGGTTTAGCCACCTAACCCACTTGCAATGTGTACGAGGAGCATGTGCACGAACCGTTTTGGACCTCGTATGTTTGTCAGTGTACACGGACATGTATATGAAACAGCCTTATGTCAATCCCCTGGTGGATGAGGGCACCTCCCCATGCCGTGTGGGTAATTTGACTAGAATTCATAGCTTGTGTGGGTTATAAAAAGCAGGGAGCATAGACGTACAGCACAACAATTTAATTTGCTTTATACTGCCCTCTGCTGCCCACCACAGTCTCTCAGCCTATAATAATAATAGTTACGCATGGTGATATCCATTTTATTACTAGCAAGGTCCAAGTTTGCTTGATGACATTGGGCGCATTTTGGGTGGTTTGTTCAATCGTGCTCACTGGTGCAAAATGCATGCCCTCTACACAGCGATACATTTCAAATCAACTCCTGTGCATTGTATCTACACACATGTTCCCACTTTGTGCAGTAGCCAACTGATAGAAATGTGTAATTTAATTAACTCGCAGACGCACTGTAGTTCAGAGTCTGGATGTACGTAATTGTCTTTTTGTACGCACATGCCAACCAACAAATAATTAGTTTTTGTATTGGTGAAACTGAATTGGCAATGGTGCATAAGCACAAATAACAAGTTCGGCACATTAAATAACATTGCCCTTAAAGAGATAAAACCCTAATAGATGGAATTTTAGGCAATGGCCCTTCTTGAAACATACATCAGTGTTTGGCTGAATCCTAAACCCAGATGGCATCATCAGAACTACTGAAAACAGCAAGTGTCTGTGGAAGTGCTGTTCAGTGGTAAAGACAACCACTTACTTATTTTATTCGATATTTTACATAATCATGATGGTATTTGCATATTTTTCAAATACATGAGCGAAACAAAGTTTATTGTGTGTACTTGGCACATTTTCTATTGCTGAGATCAACAGACAGGCCTATTTTAAGAACCGACGTGACATCACAGCCCAGGTGGTGCCCGTGATGCTGATGTTTTTGAGCTCGCAAAAAAATGGCTGGATTGTTGAACAGAACTAGTTTTAGGGAAATCCAGCTCATGTGCAATGTACCTTGTGCAAACTCTTGCGCAACGCAGCGTATTGGCGCCACTTCTACTGCAGTCCATGCCGTGGTGGAACGGTAGGAATTCCTGGTGTGTGACCCACTGCCAGCACTCTGCAGAATGCAGGAGCAGCGGCTGACGATGTGAATCAATGGTTGAGAGGAGAAGCGATTTGAGAAGGGAATGTGGGTGGTGTTGGAGGGGGGGGGGGCAAATGTCATGTGTGGCTTGGCTTTGCTTTTTTATGCTATTGCAATATGAAAGTACTTTTAACTTTTTTAGGACTGCTTTTGTGGATTGAAATATTTGTTTAATTTTCATTGTGAAGATGAGAATGGTGTGCTTTGGTCAAAGGCATTTCTATATTTAACCTTTTGAGCTCTTGAAAATGTGTGATTACATAATGTTGGATTGCATAAGATAAAACTATTTTATGTCTTCTAATATCTTCCGTAGGTTTCGTGTCCCAGCTGCATAAAACTCTGCATATCTTTACAATCTTCTGCAACATCCTGCGACTTTTTTTTTCAAAAGTACTGTACTTTCTACTGTAAGCTGTTTACCCTATGACAATATTTTCTCCATGTCAAAATACGTTGTAGGTAGCAGAAGTGTTCTACTTGATACAGTTAACTTGTGTTTACAGTGGTATCACCCTCCTCCTTCCATGCATTGAGATCTTTCATAGCTGCGGTTTTCTACACTTATTCTCATTCCATGTTCCTTGACCACCTTGTTGAAACTCTCCACCAGCTTCTGGGATTCTCTTCACAAAAGGCCACCAGTATTTTGCCATCAGCCTATTTAGCCGCTATAATTTATTGACTTCCAATCTTGATAGCCTTCATCACCTCCTACACTTGCTCCATGAATACTGAACAATCGTGGGGATAGTGAGCACGTTTGTCATAGTACTCTTCCCCCAATTCCTGCCCTGAGTCTCCATCCACTACATTAACCCCAATTGACTCATGCAGAGATGTTATCAACTATCTCTGAAGCCTACTCCAGTTATTTTCAGGAAAGTGAAAATGTTGACAATGGATGGAAATGATTAGCTCGACAGAGAACGTCTGATCTGGAAGTGCTGGTGCAAGAAGGTGAATGTATGAAACAAGGTTAAGCCTAAACATTTGTTTGTAACATTGTGAGAGTACATGGCTTGATAGGCACTACTTGAAAGAATGTGAGAAGATACAGGACATGAATGCAACACATTTGGACAAGTTGAAAGACAGAGGAACAATATATGGCAATTAAAAGGAAAGCATGTGGAATGTCTAAATATTTTTTTTAGCTCAGGAGCTTGTCATCTCCTGATACTGGAGAACGATCAGCGTACTCTGTATTAAGGTATAAAACATGAATGAGCTATTCGGCTTGTCATGGTATTACAGCCTCAATTTTAGCTAGGAAACTATCGGAAGTACTCTTCAATCCTAAAACTATTTGTTGGATTCCTGGAGAAAAAAATAATATCACGTGCGGTATAAAAGGTTGCACTCTTGAAACATATGGAATTGTATTTTATCGTCACTCACTCCAACTGTCTACATTTAGTGCTGTCATTTCTGTTTCCAGTTGTGAAAGATTTGATTCTGCAGTGTCCACATGTATTATGTAACAATGGCTAAATCTATAGGCGTTCTGATAATTCCCAGTCATTCTTAGCACCCACTGCACATTTACCTACCCAGCGATTATTTGACTTAATGCAGTCTCGGTATAGCTCTTTCATTCTTATGAATATTTTTTTAACACATTACAAATATGTTTGCGTTTAGGCCTGGGTTGGCCACACTAGGATGACTGCATCAATGTGTCGTGACATCACGGATGTCACTGTAATGCCGGCCCTAGAGAGGCACGGCGTGCGATGTAGCGACATCACGGGCACCACGTGGGTGTGGGTGCAGTGCTGGCCCTAGAAGGGCTCGGTGAGCGCTGACTAGCAGTGCTGGATGGCACCACGCTCTGCGTGCAGTGCTGACCCCTACAGGATAAGGTGTGAGAGTGTCGACGATGGGGTTACTAAGGGCCATGGCACTGGTTGACCCCGAAAGACACGTGACCGGTAAAGTCTACACAGGGGTCCCAGGTGGGGGCTTGGGGTGGTCACGTGTCAGGGCTGAGATCCTGCTCGAGGATTCTAGAAGGTGGTCGTTGCTAAGGGCGGAGCCAGCCATGACACAGAGGATATAAGCCGGGTCCCAGAGAGGGACCAGCTGCTGTTGTTCATCCTGAAGAAACCTTCGTTTACGTCCTACAGAGTCTCCAACACGTGGACCTGGACCTGAGCTGTGGTCCGGTCCGTTGTAGCAAGTTCCGGTGTAATTAGTGTAGTTAGCCTGGTGGTCTACCATCATAGCTTATTATCTGGTTAAGGGGCAGTTACCCCTTTGTCTTGGTATTAATAAATGTGTTGCCTCCAAAGAGTACGCCTGTGACTCAGTTGAACTCGCTACAAATGTTTAATTAATGGGTCGCTCGCCTTTTCATAGTCTACCAAGGCTAATTGTAATGATATTTTATATTCATTAGTCGTTTCCATAATTAGGACTGCCTCCACATCATGACAGATAAAAGTAGTCGCACTGTAGTGGGGATTGCTGAACCTTAGATCCAAAAGATGACATTAAAATCGAATCAAGTTTATTAGTTTTGACCAGGGAGAACTCGACAGACCATTGTCTCATTTTCAATCGTGACCTGTGTGCTTGGAGGCAATGTGGATGTACATGTGTACCACAGTAGTAGGATTTTACATTCACAAAAAGGGTCTTCAGTG